CCTAGTGAGAGCCTGAGCTCGCTGCCCTTCAGGAAGTTCAGTGTCCAACAGGGCTCTTCAAGAAGAAAATGGTTTGGGAGGAACCTTTAGAGGTCACCTACTCCAACACCCCTGCCCTGAGCAGGGACACCTTCCACTAGATCAGGGTGAAGAACCTTTTGAGTGCTTTTTGCTTCAGTTAAGATTGTATCTTTTTATCTTGGCTGAAGAATTGCACGAGCTGGCATTGATGCAGCACTTGGATCACGTGTAGAGCTTGTCAGATGCCTGTGTTCATCAAACAGCAGGGAACCTGCCTCGGGATTACAAAAGTGTGTTGATAACGTATCTTATAGAACCATCTCAATAATAGGTTGTTATTCTTTTAGGGCCAGGCAGGAACACGAGGCACATGGATAAAGAGCGAGATGAGTCTAGCTGTGAGTGAGTGCCAGCTGTCCAGACATGACTCATGTTTGAAGAGACCTGCTCTGGTTTTGGTGTTTTCCACTTGTATCTCTGGGCAGCGGTAAAGGACTGAGCAGTTAAGGAGCTTGGGTGTATCCTGGGCTGAGCTTGCAGATGGCTTCCTGTCCTGCTGTCTTGTGGTAGGGCTGAGAACACCTCGGAGCCAAGTGCTGTCAACACCAAGGCAGTTGAGAGCAAATGCCACGTGATAGTTCTGTCCTGCCAAGGGGTTTTGGAGCTGTCTGCCTACAACATGTCAGCTCACCAAGCTGCGATGCAGCCTGCTCTCCAAGGTTTATGGTATCTCTGTGAAAGACAAATCTAACTGGGTCTTAAACATCTGTGTCTGAAACACACTTGAGATTTGATCGTAGTACTCAGCTATTTTAACATTTTTCTCTTCTCAGCAAAGAATTGAAATACACAAGCTTCGTCAAGGTGACAATTTGATTCTGGGATTCAGCATCGGAGGTGGCATCGATCAGGATCCTACGCAGAATCCTTTCTCTGAAGACAAGACCGACAAGGTCAGATGCTCTTTGTTTTCTGGAGCAACATCTCTGCACAAGGCTGAGCACACCCAGCTCACGTCTGTATTCTGTCCTGTCACACAGCTGACTACTAATCATAGAATGGTTTGGATTGGAAGGGACCTTAAAGATCATCTAGTTCCAATCCCCCTGCCATCAGCAGGGACAATGTTACTCTCTTGCCCTGTTACCATTCATGGATTAACCTTTTTTAAGTAACTCTTCACCTTTTCTGTTTTCCAACATTGCACAAACCTGTTTTTAACTAGAATCCCACAATACACTGCAAAGCATTTTTGCCTTGTCAATAGAATGGCCCTTGAGTATTTAATGCTTCCAGATTTAGTAAATGAACACTTGATTGGGTTTTTTCCTCTCCCAGGGTATCTATGTAACAAGGGTGACAGAAGGAGGCCCAGCAGAAGTTGCAGGACTTCAGATTGGAGATAAGATCATGCAGGTAAACACCAAGATAAGACAAGTAGCAAGGTACTACTAGGTGGAAATGACAGAGAAGTTTCTGCTGGGGAAATACTGTCTTCTGGGTACTTTCCAGGATAGTTTGGGAAGCTTATAATAAACTGAGCTGTGGCATAAGCTTGTCTACTACATAGTTCTGATAGAACAGTTGTAGGATGCCTGTCAGTCCATGTACCTGCCTCACTTTATGGCCTTCTCCTAGGTGAATGGCTGGGACATGACAATGGTGACCCATGACCAAGCTAGGAAGAGGCTGACAAAAAGGAACGAAGAAGTGGTACGGCTGCTGGTGACCCGGCAATCTCTGCAGAAGGCTGTGCAACAATCCATGATGTCCTAATCAATCATCAAGTTGGGGAAGGGTTGGGGAGGGAGATGTATAGACTGATATTAAGCAAGGAAGCAAATACTAGACCTGAACAGGTTGTCTGGAAGGAGTGCATGTTCCTAACTGTGGTAAACACTATTTTTTTTTTCCTCCTTTCTCTGGTGTAACTGGCAGTAAAATTCCAGTCCCCCAGCAAGTGCTTCTCTAAAGTCTTCCCTGCAGGTACATGGCAAGACTTTATTGTAGTCATGGCTTTCGGGAGGACAGGACAAATCCTAGTTATCTAAGGAAGCAACTGGAGAAGCCTTACCTTTAACAGGATTCTTTTGTAGCACAGAAGCTTCCTATTTTAAGAGGAAACGTGGTTTCTGCTATGGAAGATAAGAGGGTTTGCTGTCCTTAAGCTTTTAGAAGTGAGCTGTCCTGTCCTCCCATGCTACCAAATGAAAGTGCCAGAGTGAAGAGTTGCACGCTGCTGTGGGGAGGAGCACTGTACTAATCTCACATTGTGTGCTAGCTAAAGTATGCTGAAGGGTTTGGGGCATTATGGTTTCCTGCAAAGATTCTCTGTACAACGCAGCCTCTTCAGACAAGAAACAACTAAGTGACCCATAAGTATTGGATTAATAGTTGCAAAGTACACTAAAATTGCATAGACACTACAGTTCAACTTCAACATCGGAGTAAAACCTTAATTCTTGTTCCCAAGTAATTTGTAACATCAAATGAATCAAATTTAAATGAAAGGAACATGGAGCAGGAAAGAAAATTGTTGCTGAACTTACCAAAAGAGCTGCTTGTGGCTGTAGAGTCTGCAGTTCTTCATTCCACTTCTATCAGACTTGAAATGGGAGGGGTGGATTTTGACCTGTCTTCTAGAAGACTTTGCTTAAATCACTGATTTATTGGATGGAAGAAGTGAATATGCCAGTAACTTCCAGAAGTGCCTCTTGACCAAATTTAAACTTTTGCTGAGATACTGAGTTGTTTAAATCAACATGCCACAGGATTTAATTCCTGCTGCAATACTAAGCTAATTATCTAGCATCCTAGTGGTTTGTTAACCAGCTAGCTTTACAATTATCCAAAAACTGGAGATCTTAATCACCTTCAGTTGATTTAAACTTATCTATACTTTCCTTAAGCAGTCTTCAGGTAAGCTGTTGTAAATAGAACATGAGGAGGTGGCAGACTAACTTATTCAGTACATTACTGCTGTGCCATGTACGTATGTTGTGATTAATGCATCTCAGACTGTTCTGTACGCACCAGCAGATGCCTATTTACCATTTTTATACCTATGGAATTACTACAATACTGCTTTTGAATTTTGTAACTTAAGAATTCAGTGGTAAATTTTAAGGCTTTCGAGTTGAAGTTATTTTTGTTACTATAAAGATACACTGCTATTTGTACTGCTATTCCACTTGATTTTACACACAATAAAACAAAGTTGGATTTCCTGAGCTGTTTTCTCCTTCCATTTAAAGAGGCCATATCAGTTGAATGCTTCCAGCTGACACCTCTTTTCTGGCTGGAAGACAGACACAACATAGTCTGAGGGTAGTAGGTCTGATTTCACAAGGGGAAGGTAGTTGCAGTGAGCTGTCAAACCTCATATGGTCTCTAGGAGGGGGAGAGAAGGGGTTCTGGTTTCCCTTAGGCTGACACCTAGACTGTTCAAGTACAAATGCAGAGATTCCCTTCTAGTTCTTTTTTAAAGGGTATAATGCTTACCTTTAAGTAACTCAAGACCTTGATCTCTACCTAGAACATAGCACATGTAGTTAGAAAGTTACTCAGGAACAGAAGTGTATGTGTAAACTTTAATCATGGGGCTGTTAATTAACATTATCCATTTAGAAATAATCTGTTTGACAAATCTGTAATCTTTACCATCCACCCTTAAGGATACAAGGCATGTCAGTAGAACTGAGCAGAATGAAGTTAATGCACTAGAAGTATTCAGATAAATCTGAGCACTTGTCATAGCACCTTTGAAAGAGCTTTCAGTGAAATAAGAACAGCTTTTGCTGCTTCTCATTTTTTTTCTGTTTTTTTATGAAGTGTAAGTTTTAACATTTGTGTATTTGCTACCAACCTTATTATTCTTCTGTGTACCACCACACCTGTTCACAGTCACCCTGAGTGGTGTTCTACTGTGATTAGTCTGTGAGGAGCCAGCAGCAGCAGTTAGATCCACAGACAGTCTTCAATCGTTACAAATTAAGATATTAAGTGGTTGCTTTAAACATGAGCTCAGATTTTTGGAAGCCAGAACTCTGCTGTTTGTGCTTCACTTCCAATCAGAAAGTGATCGCTCTGGTCTTTTGCTTTCCTGTTAATGGAAAAAGAGCCCCATGTTGCTTGGACAGCTCAGGCTAAGCTGTCTGCAGCTTCAACAGGCACAAGTCTTCCCTTTGCAAGTGGTCACTAGATAGCTTACTGTCCTTTAAGGCATCAGGAAATCAGCATTTGGTGAGGCAACAGCTTGTATTCCATACCAGGGGATCAAAGTACAAACAAGAGATCAGTATCAGTGCTCCTGGTAACTGGCAGTAGGCATCTTGAAAACCCTCAGCCAGGGTAAGGGCAAGTTCAATTTAAAGTCTGTGTCTTCACAGGTGATGTCATTCACAAGGTTCATACCCCCGTGTCCTATAAAGGCAGTAGTGCTGGACCATAAAAACAATATCAAAGATGATGGAGAAGACACCCAGGCCAAACTTGGTTGGATCTCCAAAGATTAACTTCCACTGATCTGTCAAATACAAAATTGGAGAGTTAAGACTAACTCCTCAAGTGTAGTCTTGTCTTAAGAGTACAAGGTCAAGCCCTACATATTAGAGAAGTTCATGTTTATTACCTGGACTGCTTAGACACACCTTAAGACTGACTGTAGTGTACAGCTAATCAATGACTGTTTCTGTTTCTTCAGAATAGCTATTTAATTTTCTATCTTGAAGGAGAATGAAGAGACTCTTCACTCTTAGTGTAAGAATAGCTACCCATACTACAGCACAAACATCATTCTCCCAAGAGAACCTACAGGTTTGTATCTGCTTTGTAGCAGGATTCTCCCACCCCATTAAGGGCCCTCTTACCTCAGTTCCAGCCTTACCGTTGTTGTATGACTGCAAAAACATCTGGAGCAGGCTGAAGCTTCCACCAGTGAAGTCTAGTAATA